GGCTCTCAGTGGCCCTCTCAGGAAGGATATTCCAGTCCAAAGATGACTATCAGTGTCTCTAAGGTAACCATTCTATCCGTTCTTTGATTTTACTTACTGCTTATGCATGGTTGAGCCTCTCAACCTCTCTCGTGCATTACGCTTACACTGGTCAAATGGAGATGATACAAGGAAATGCGAAAGGCATATTTGCGCTTGCTGGAATGTTGAAGCTTCCAGTGGTGGAGCTCAATTCATGACCAACACGTAAATATTCCCCGGTTGTTCTTGTCTAACCCCTTTTCTATAGTGTCAACTCGGAAAATCTGGCAACCACATTGGATTTCGCGAGGTCTCCAAACGTCGGAACGCTGATGGCAATTTGCGTCCACCAAATGAAGAAGTTTTATTTGCAGTGACCTCTTTGTTCGCTTGCCAGCTGACACTGTACTGACTTTGCTTCGAAGCAATAATCTCTCCCTGAGTTCAGAGGCATACGTTTTTGCAGTTATTTCGCTAGAAGTGTCCCTAGAAAAGAGATGAATTACGAAAAACTGAAGTTACATGCTCCACCGATGCTGGTCCAGTGGCACCACGCGACTGTCCAATTTCGCAAACGTTTACTGGAGTGTCATCCCATGTTTCAGATCAGTCCTGATTGCGCGCAAGTACTTGAATTTTTAATTTCTTTATCATTTTATAAAAGCGGACCTATGGCTCTAGTTGAGCAGTGGATTGGCGCACCAGATAAGGATAAAGGAACGTGTCCCTTCAACCTAACTGGTCGCGACGTGAGACCGACATTCTTCATATTTGGAAAGAAGCAAAATCAGTCCTGCGTTTCGATTCAGACTTGCAAAAGGAAGAACAATTTGCTGAGATAAGACCCCTCTATAACGCCTCCTTCATTGTCGTTGGGGGTGAGTTTACTGATGCATTATACGCAACCTAGCATTCTTCTTAGAACATGTTCGTTAATTCAAGTCATTCAATTTGCTCACGATCACATCACAAACAGGCCGCTTTACGTCTTTGAACCTTCACGTTTCCACTATAGTACAAACTTTAAATTATTTAGGCTCTCCTCCAGAATTCTATCATACACTCCCCTCAGTGCGAGTGTACTCACATTATGCACGAAACTGGAAAAAAGGGATGCCGAAATCTGAATGTTTTTTCCGTGCAATTAACTTAACGGCGCATTGTGTACACTTTGCGGTGAGTTCGATGCTTGAGTGTGTTCCTCGAAAATCTCTTCAAAGTTACAAATACCAGAAGGTACTGCCATAATGTCGCATAAGGT